ATAATTCAGGTTAAACAGAACATAATTCTGGGAAACAGCTGCATTGTAATCCAGGTTAAACAGATCATAATTCTGGGAAACAGCTGCATTGTAATCCAGGTTAAACAGAACATAATTCTGGGAAACAATTGTATTTGTAATCCAGATTAGAAACCAAACGTTTTGTGAGAAAGATATATCTGTAAATTAAACTCCACATAATTGACAGAAACAATTGTATTTGTAATCCAAATTAGAAACCAAACGTTTTGTGAGAAAGATATATATCTGTAAATTAAACTCCACATAATTGACGGAAACAGTTGTATTTGTACTCCAGACTGAACATGACATAATTATGGAAGAAAGCTTTGTCTGCAATCTAGATTAAGGTTAAAGTAATTGTTAGTTAACAGTTTTACCTGTATTCCAGGTTAAATTTGATTTATCTGTTGTATACAAAAATATTGTAAAAAAGCATTTGACAATTAATAGTGCTATTAAATGTAACAAATACCAGTCTTTTAGTAAAAAATCAATTTATTTTCAGCCATGAAAAAAGCTCCTGAGCAAAGTACACCAAATATTCTAAAAAAAAAAGATAAGTCTTGTTTAAATTAGTGACTAAACAGTATTTGGACTAACAGAAAACAAATACTATTCCATCAACAAAATAGAGTCCAGGTTAGCCTTAAATAAATCTATGGTAAGGTGAAAGGGTTGGGTGCTATCAGAAAACGATTATATTTATATATATACACACATACATACAGTCTCTTAAGTTGGTCCATTTAAAGATTAGCTCAGATTAACTTATCACATACACATCAATAAATTCCTTCCCACTTGAAAAAAAACAGCACCACTTAGCTAGATATTAGTCAAACTTCACCTGACACAAAGTACCTGGTCTATACTCAGGTGCAAAAAATCAAGGTCACTTTTAAACATGTGATCAGTGCTGGTATAAGGAAGTCAATTTTTAAGTACACAGTCTGGCTATAATCAGACACATACACAATGTAAAAGATTAAGAATCCCATATCTAATGGAATGCAGCAGTAAAGAATCAGAAGCTGAATGTTAGCAATAGCACTGAATCACAAAATTGTCAGTAGAAGATCCTGGTACACGGAATGTCAGCTCTGACTCATTATTTACAAAGCCTATATCACTAAGTAAATTACTTATGGTATCAGACACTGGTAACATCTCACATAAGTGAACCTTGGCACTTGGTGGTCACCAGTTAGAGCAAGTCTTTCTTCAGAGGAATGCCTTTCTTTCCCTGCCAGATGCTGTTGTGTATTGTCACGGCATCAATAGTTACAGTCAAGTGTTTGGTGTGCACTTGAGAAAAACACTTTCCTCCTGAGTTATACCTGAAATAAATAATGAATAAATGAATAAATAATGAATCTGTACAGTTATCTATGCACTTCCTTCCAGAGTTGAACCTGAAAAAAATACTGAAAGTGTATAGTCTATTTTGGACAAATAAAACCAATTATCCATGCACTTTTTTTATGTTATACCTGAAACAGCAGTTAATCTGTTCCTGGTCAGTAAGAATACTACCAATATTGTAAATCAGTAATCTCATAATCATTAAGTGTACATAGCACAAGAACCAATACAAACAAGTTAGAAAACAACAGTTTATCCTGTGTGTTTGGATCTTAAATTCTGGCACAGATAATTAATTATTTAAAGTTGGTAGTTATTTCAAATTAAGTTAAATCTTTTGAAAATTAACACATTTGTGGGGAAAGTGATTTCTCTAATTATGCAATAGGAAGGTAAAGCCTCACTGTGAACCCTGTCTTAGATACTGATCATTTTATGGCTTTATGTTATGTTTTATGGAAGAATGACCACATTAACTGCTTTCTCTTGTGTACCGCCAGTGGTACATGACGTACTGTCTTTACCTATTTAAACTTTGGCCGTCATAAGCCACTGGTGGTGCACATTATGATTTAAATAATAATAATAATCACATGATCATAATATTTAATATTTTTTCAGAATAGTTTTTCCTTTTTTTAGAAGAGTTATGAATATTTCACAATCTTGTAAAAAGGGACATCAGATAAAATATTTGTGGATGACACTAGTTCAAGGATTGTGATTGGAGGCCTACAATGTGCTTAGAATGTCTCAATAACAAACATAAATGAAAATTAAAAGGAATTAAATTATTCATTGTCTATCCTTTTTTTTTCCAATTTTCATAAAAGGCTTTCTAAAAAAAACAACATCTAATTTGTTTTTTGCTCCACCTAGTCACTATGAACATTTTATTTCCATTTCATTTCTATTCTTATTATATTACAGTTTTCATAACAGTTTTTCTGTTCAAGAAATAAGTCTCAATTAGTTTGTTCTTTTCCTTTAATTACTCACAATGAACAATTTTATGCCAATCTCTAGACGTAAAATAAAAAGTGATTTAATTATGTAGCTTTGTTTTATTTCAGTTGTCCTATCAACATGGCATCAGTGCTCCACCAGTGGTACATGATGGAAGGCGTGGATTTATTACAGCCATCCATACAAAACAAATACTTTCATATAGAACTTTGGAGATATGAGGTGCAATTATATCTTATGGTGCTGTGTACCACGGGTGGCTCACAAAGTCTAACAGAAACATGAAAATGTACCACCGGTGGCACATGATGTCGTGAACTTGTTAAGTTTTAATATATCAGTTTTGCTGAACAATGTTTGGTTATCTTAACAAATTTCAAACTGATACCCTAATAAGAGAACAAATAATAAATTCTAGATTGGCTAAATAAATCAAGAAAAAAAAATACATATTTTGAATAAAAATCAAAATGACAAATCAGGCATTGAAAATATGTATATAATGTATATTTAGTACTTAATTTATCAGTCTACCTCATGATGGCTTACTAAATTCAACAAATAAACCATGAAGCAACCACTTTGATAAAATAAAACTGCCATAAATGCTTTACTCATCACAAGTAAAATTGTAGAACTCTTAAAAATATTCATTTCAACAAAACATGTAACTAAAAACCACAAGCACTATCACAGTGTTCAGTTGGAGTTGAAACTTGGTAAACTTCCAAGTCAAATCATATAATTAAACACCACAAGCACTACCACAGTGTTCAGTTGGAGTTGAAACTTGGTTAACCTTTATCTATATGTAAAACCAAATAATTAAACACCACAATGTTCAGTAAGAGTTGAAACTTGGTAAATATCTATCTATGTAAGACCATATAATTAAACAACACAAGCACTATCACAGTGTTCAGTTGGAGTTGAAACTTGGTAAACTTCTATCTAAGTAAAACCATATAATTAAACAACACAAGCACTACCACAGTGATCAGTACGAGTTGAAATTTGGTAAAACTATCCATATACAACCTTATAACTAAACACCACAAACAATACTGTGGTGTTCAATAAGAGTTGAATCTTAGTAACTCTTTATATATATATTTTGAACACCCATTTGTACACTTCCCAACATGTACAATGTATGCCAAAAATGGTAATAAAGTTGTTTTATTTAGATTTTAGAACACTGTTTAATTTATAATGTCTTACTCTTAAACAAACATTTCAATTGGTTTTGATTGTCTTCATAATATTTTCCTCAGTACAAACTGTATAATAACTTTTGCCTCGTCCTGTACGTAACTATCTATATACAGTTGATCTTGTCACTACAGGTAACTATGCCAGTTGAATTTACCTACAGAACTTGATAAAATCATAATTATCTCAAAATCCCAACTCTCTCACTCTGCTTATGTAAATTGTTTATGTGAAGATGAAGCAATTATACTTTAAAATGTAAAAGTTGGAAATACACTACTCAACATATTTGTTTTATCTTATCTCATATTTTATCTCCTTCATACACTAAATTGTTAGTTCTATTTGCATGCATTTTTTCATTCAATATTAAAAAATAACCAAAATATTGATATATTACATTACTTATGACTTAAGTGAAACAAACACATCAATTCTAAGACTGATTATAGTTTTGGTGGAAAGTGGTACTTTACATTTTCTGCATAACATCACTTTGAAAAATTATGTTAAAATGCTTATATTCACTGAGGTAAAAAGACTAAAATATCAAGAAAAGGTCAATGAAATGACACTCCTGTGTTCTGATTCATTTTTAAAATTCATAACTGATAAAGAGGGAAAAACTAGCTCACTTGTAAAACCCATTCATCATGGGATCAGTGAGGATCTTAGGTCCTGTTCCATAGAGTTTTAAAACTTCTTCTCGATCTGGGTTGTACGAGTAGATGGATCGGAACTGGCAACCAGAGTCTCGAAACAATATTAAGAAGTGTTTGCTCTCAGAATTGTTAATAGCCTGAAATCAACATGTAGATAGTATAATAACAATAAAACACTGTCCATCCTATACATAACTACATACTCCTCAGGATTGTTAGTTGGCTGAAATCAACATGTAGATAGTATAATAACAATAAAACACTGTCCATCTCTATACATAACTACGAACTCCTCAGGATTGTTAGTTGGGTGAAATCAACATGTAGATAGTATAATAACAATAAAACACTGTCTATCTCTATACATAACTACATACTCCTCAGGATTGTTAGTTGACTGAAATCAACATGTAGATAGTATAATAACAATAAAACACTGTCCATCTCTATACATAACTACATACTCCTCAGGATTGTTAGTTGACTAAAATCAAAGTCTATAATAACAATATAAAACAGCTTTCTTTTTATGAGGTATCCATTTAATTATTGAACATATATAATGTATTGAAACAGCTACTTGTGGGATAACAGATTGATTTGGGTACTATGTTTCATCTCTAACAGTGAGACATGATCACATACAACATTCAGATTACAAATACATTCAATCAAGTAAATGTCTTTATGATGATACCACCTCCATCTATGGTATTTAATAGCTTATTACAAATATAAAAATGCTCCTGTTGATGTTTTATTTATATTAGGTTTCTAACTCTGATTCTTAGTGCTTTGAAACGTTTTTCTTTTGTTTGGGTAGTTCTCTACATTCAATACTTTAAATTTTTTTTGTGTTGTTTTTAATCATGTGTTTATTTATATTTTACTCATTTTCATTTCTAATGTTCCTTGAATTTGGTCATCATCTTTCTACCTGCTTCTCCTATATAGAAAATTTCACAATCTAAACATTCTATTTTACATACACTGTACCATTGTCATATTTTTCATTATTACACAACTATGGCAGAAAACTGTTAGTATTGGTTTAGTTATGATTTTATATTTTGTGTTTCATTTGTATTTTTGGCTTCATATGTTCCACAAGTTAATTAATTTTTCACTAATAACATTTAAAAGTGATATCTTTCCATAAATAAATTTTTTTCTTGCTGTTCTCTTGTTTTGTCCACTGTTTTCTTGGTTGCATTATTAATTAGATTTGAATGGTATTCATTTTTTGTTTTCCATTTTCTTTGGTGCACATAGTCTCATTACACGAGTTTCATCATGTCTTCTAACAGTGAATTTTCAAACTAAATATTTTTCCCCCTTACATTCATGTTAGGATGTTTATACAACCATTTTCTTCTTTTCTGTTGTAAACTTTATGTTAATTTGTTCAAAAAACCAAATCATTTCTTCTCCCTTAAAGTCACATCACATCTCAACCAGAAATATGGTTGAAACAAAGTTGTGTGGACTTTGTCTCTATGCTTATGAAGAACAATGATGCTAATACTGGAGATAGTGAGCATCCAAATCCTCTCTCTCCAAACATTAAACAGTTATTAATTCCTAATTCCATATCTTGTAATTGTATTTTTATAAAACACAAATTCAATGTAAAAACTAAAATCATAACTAAACCAAGAACTAATATTCCAAAAATTTCAACTGAAGTTATATAATAACAAAAAATATTGCAATACTACAGTACATAAAATACAATGTTTATACTGCAAAAGTTCCTATATAGGAAAAGCAGGTTCAAAACTAATGATTCGCTACAAGGACCATAAACAATGAAAAAAAAAATTAATTAAATGAACATATGATCGAAACAAAAATAAAGTTCTAAAATGTAAAAGTATCAAATGCAGTGAAAAAAAAGCAAAAAGAAAAATTTGGAAGCACTAAAAATTAGCATTAAAACCTAACATGAATAAAACATCAAAAGCACCCTTACATTTGTATTAAGTTAGATATGTTAAAAACCCAATGGAGCTATTGTCCTCGTAAACACAATTATCTGTTATGATGCATTTCTAATCTGAATGTATTTGTACTTTGAATGTTGTAGGTGATCATGTCTTACTCTCAGAGGAAACACTGTACCAAAATAACTCTGTTATTCCATAAAAACTATTCAATATTTGAATATAAAACTACATACTGCCAAGGATTGATAATATCCTGAACATGTATAATATAAATAAAACATTGTTTATCTTTATAACTTAATATAAAACTACATACTGCCAAGGATTGATAATATCCTGAACATGTATAATATAAATAAAACATTGTTTATCTTTATAACTTAATATTCTGTACATCTGTAACCTATTTATGTACATCTGTATTTTTGTAATTTATTTACCTCTAACACCTTCTTCTTGGTATCTGAATTGACAGCACCAGCTAGTACCGTGTTAATAGCATTTATGATAATTCCCCTATTTGACTTAGCTGTGGGTTTTACAAAGAGCTTTGGGCCTGAGAATTCTGATGTAAATGCTGATGAAGAAGTTGAGCCAGCATCAGATGCCCCATCGCTCGGAGGACCCGATCCTCTACTACGGCCACTTGGTATACCTGGTGGGAGTGAAGGTGGCGGTTGACTTGGAGAGGTTGGATGCCTAGAACCATAATAATAGCCATGACTGGGGCTAGGACCTTGCCTTCTTGGAAGAACACCGTAGCCATACAAAGAGTCAACATCATCCTGGTTCAGACCTTCTACAGGGATTAGCAAGATTTATAGCAAAAATTTAATTTTATGCTTATGTCATCATCAGAAACCAAATTAAATAAAAAAGAATCCACTCCTAAGGCAATCACAACAATGTGCATGTGGAAAAACTAACAATCCAAGAAGGATTAGAAAAAATTAAAGCCTCAGCATATCGGTATTAAAGGTACTATCAAAAATAGATTCTCAAGAATTAATTATAAGTGCAGAAAAGCAAAGTATCATTGAAGTTAGATAAACAATACTCTTTCAATAATAATCAGTAAATCCAAGTTAATGCAATAATAAAGAACATTATTTAAGGATTCATGATACTAGTAGGACAACAAACTAATACCTGAAATATGTTAATAAAACTTATTCAAAAACACTCCACTTAATAAAAACTTATGCAACAATAAAAAACATCACTTCTATAGTACTAGTACTAATACAACAATACAACATAGTAACATTCAAGTTAGATTAATAATACTCATTCAAACACAATGACAGTCCACATTAAGAAGAACTAATGCAACAATAAAAATAATTTAAGAATTAATAGCATAAGCATAACAATAGACTAACACCCAATAAGATGTGTAGTGGGGTGAGAAAATGTGGGCATGATGTATCTGTAATTTGTTTAGCCGGAAAAGTGTACCACTGCTATTACAAATAAATTCCCCCTTACACAGTTAAACGTGTTCTGGCACTTCTTTACTTAACACTACACCACTTCACTCACGGTTGATTAGTAATACTTATTCAAACACAATCAGGGCCAAATTAGTAAAATTGATGCAACAATTAAAAACATAAGTTAAAGATTAATAGTAATATCACAATAAAATACCATCCAAGACAAGTCCTGAAATATTAAAAACACTTATAAAATAAGTGATATTATCAAATAAGACAAAATAATAAAGCACAATATATATAAAATGTTATTCAATAAAACTAACACATACGGTAGAATCTCAAGGATTAATAATACCTCATAATATTAACACTACCATCCAAGGCAGAACCACAGTAGGTCGAATGCAAGATACCAATGACACTAATGCAACAATAAAAATAATAAACAAGGCAAAATCTCAAGTATCAAAATGTTCATAGAAAAATAAATAAACAAATCTTGCAAAGGAGGAACTTATGTATTACTAAATATTCTTAGCACGTTTTTATAGAACAGCAAATATTCATTAAAAGTAGGATGGCAAAAAGCAACAACATTCACGAAAAGTAGAGGTCATATCATCTGCTAAGTCGGAAATAATAATACTATATTATGCACATTATCAAGAATGAATGTACTTAATAAACAGTATCAGCATATTTCGAAATAAGATTAAAAAATATAAATTGAATAATACATAATTCATGAACGTTTCTAAGAAATTAATAATATTCAGAGCTAAGTGATTTAAATATCTATCATTACTCGTAACACAATATAAACACATTTGAAATGTTTAACTGTAAAACTAAAATGATACCCATGATGTACCTAACAATTCAATGTACACATATCTCATCACTTTCCACTTTTTAAACTCTCAGACATTGCATAAAATCACTGCAGTTACTTAAATACTTTATTTTGAGTTCCAAAATATTGTTCATATCATGAATATCTGATATTCTTGACAAGTTATTAATAAAAGAAGCATACAGCTTTTCCTATAGAACAATTTTAACAGTACAGATAAATGTAATATTTTTAATTCAAGAAAAAGCTACCAAAAGAACCTTGAATGTGCGTCAAAACCCAAGTTTTCTTTATTTCTGGAAATAGTACATCGATTCTGCAGTTGACTTTAACTGTTGAGACCGTACTTCAAATACAGACAACAAGTCGTTCTTTATTTCAGACAGTACTTCAAATATGGACAAGTCGTTCTTTATTTCAGACAGTACTTCAAATACAGACAAGTCATTCTTTATTTCAGACAGTACTTCAAATACAGACAAGTTGTTCTTTATTTCAGACAGTACTTCAAATACAAACAACAAGTCTTTATTTCAAACAGTACTTCAAATACAAACAACAAGTCTTTATTTCAAACAGTACTTCAAATACAGACAAGTCATTCTTTATTTCAGATCGCTCGGAGGACCCGATCCTCTACTACGGCCACTTGGTATACCTGGTGGGAGTGAAGGTGGCGGTTGACTTGGAGAGGTTGGATGCCTAGAACCATAATAATAGCCATGACTG